GCTCTCATGCTCTCCAGGCTGTTCTCAGGGCCATGTTCCTGTGCTTTTTCTGCTGCTTCTCTTCAGGTAGCCACAGCTCCATCCAAATGATCCCCAGCCCTCTGGGTTTGCATTCAGACCCCCCTTGGGGGCCCCTCGTCCCCATAGCTCAGATTCCTGACTGGCTGGTGCTTTGGGTGGTGGCTCTTGTGGTTTTGCCTCTCTCGTGCCATAAAGGAGCTTAATTGCTTCTCATGTTTATCTCGCATGCACTCCCTGGACCCAATTATCCAAAGAGCTCACTCTGCTGCCCTTTAGGCCCCGAACCCTGGGGCCCTGAGCACTGGGAGGTGAGCTCTTTGGAAGCCCTGCCCCCCCCAGTTAGCAGGGCTCCAGACTGGGCTGGCGGGGAGGGCAGGGGGCTTTGCAGGGCGTCTGCAGGACAGAGAGGACGAGGCTGCAGCCGACGGGCCAGGGCCCGCCGGCTCCGGCTCCGTTCCGCAGCTGGAATTGTTTGGAATAGAAGGGATTAGATTTCTGAGCTGGGCTAAGTCCCAGCAGCCCCCACCCTGCTGCCAGCGCTCCCCACTGTGGGGATCAGAGATGGGGGCCTGGACACGTGGGCCTCTGTGTCTCCCCATTGTGCCGCAAACCCAGGAGCTAATGGCTCCAGCGGGGCTGCTCAAGGCCTGGGTCGTCCCTTCCCAGGCATTTTATCCCATGCTGCCAACCGAGCCCCGGAGAGACTTGGCTTCTCTCCTGGGCCTGGAAAGAAGCTGCCAGCCCTGCCCACCCACAGCAGCCCCCCTCTATGCCCGCCTGGCACCCTCCCAGGCCACCCGGGGCATGACCCCCCCAAACGCTATCTTTGCTCAGTGTGTGTGTGTGTGTGTGTGTCCGAGGATCCCCTCTGGACCCATGTGAGAGCCCCCGCATGTCTGTGTGCCGCTCTCCTCCATGCCCGCTCAGGGAGCCCCTTGGCTCTCCACACCCCCCATGCCACACCCCATGGAGTGTCACGGAGTTTGGGGGAGACAAGGCCCTGCACCCCCGGCTTCCTGCGATTCACCACGACTCTCAGCCAGCCAGTAAAGCAGAAGGTTTATTTAGACGACAGGAATACAGTCCAAGACACGTCTTGCAGGTACAGACAACTGGACCCCTCAGGCGGGTCCAGCTTGGGGGGCCAGGGGAGGCCAGGAGGTCTATCTGGGCTCCCCTCCGTTTCCCCAGCCAGCTCCAAACCGACTCTCCAGCCCCTCCTCTCCCTTTGTCTCTTCCTCGGCCAGGAGGCCACCTGATCCCTTTGCTCTCCAACACCTTCAGTTGGCACCTTTGCAGAGGAGGGGCCCAGGCCATCAGTTGCCAGGAGACAGGGTGTCGGCCATTCTCTGTGCAGACACCATCACACTGGCCCTCTAGGGCCCTGCAACAATCACCCCCCCCACACACACACTAGAGAAATGCATAGGGGAAACTGAGGCACCCACCCAGCACTCAGAGAAAACATTAAGAACATTCCCACTTGGTCACACAGAGTATCCCCCCGGCCCACCTGGAGAGTCAGCCCTCGCTCCTCCAGAGCTTCTCCCCCATGCCAGGACCCTGCCCACCCTGTGCCTGCCCCCTGCCTGCTCCCTTCCCACCCTGTGCCCACCTAATGCCAGCCCCCTGCCCACCCTGTGCCTGCCCTGCTCTCTGACCCCGCAGCCTCTCTCCCGCAGAGTCCTACTCGGTGGCAGGCAGTGATGGCAGCATCTCGGCCTCGGTGGCCTCCAGCCAGCCCCAGCCCTCGTCCGGCTCCGCGCCCAGCTCGCCCGGCTCCCGGCGCTCCGTCAGCACCCTCAAGAAGTGGCTGACCACCCCAGTGCGCAAGTTGAGCACCGGCAGCCTGGCCAAGGGCGAGCGGAAGCCGGAGGGTCGGCCCCGGCGTGGGGGCGAGGGCAGGCGGCACGGCCGGCAGGAGGAGAGGAAAAGCATCGACCTGGGGCTGCTGGGCAAGGCCGACGAGCCCCTCGCTGCCCTCCGGGAGCCCAAGGGCACGGTGAGAGCATTGGGGGTGGGGCCGGGCACTGCCATGGGGGGGCTGGGTTCCCGGGGGCCGGGCACTGCCATGGGGGGCTGGGTTCCCGAGGGCCGGGCACTGCCATGGGGCGCTGGGTTCCCGGGGGCTGGGCACTGCCATGGGAGGGCTGGGTTCCTGGGGCCGGGCACTGCCATGGGGGGGCTGGGTTCCCGGGGGCTGGGCACTGCCATGGGAGTGCTCTGGGTTAGCAGTTCCAGGGGTGGCACAGGGAGCTGGTGATGTGTCAGGACACACCCAGCGCCCACAATCTGCTCCCTAATTTGGGCTGCCCCTGCCCTGGGGGGCCTTGAGGCTCTGGCTGGGAAAACAGCCTCATGAATTCAGTTTCCCCTGGAAAACGGGGGATCCGCCATGGGGGGCACCTGATGCCCTGAGGGAGAGTGAGGGCTGCGGGGGGTGGAGATCAGGGGCAGGGGGTATAGACACCCCATCCTGCTCCAGGGCAAACTGAGCCTCTCGAGCGCCCTCCCCCCCCAGCACAGCTGCAGCCTTAGCCCCCGTCTGACCCCCCCCTCGGCGTGTTGCAGGAATCGGGCCCCTCGGGGGGCGAGCGGCTGCCGGGCCTGGCTCTGCTGTGCAGTCTGCTGGAGGGGGGCGCCACGGAGGCAAACACACAGGTGAGGAGGGGGCATTGGGGCGGGCGCCGCGGGAGACCCCCCCCCTTTTCCCCCTGGGCCCAGGTCATCCTCACTGCCCCTGGCTCTGCCCGGGTGCTGTGTTGGGGCTAGATGCCCCCTCCCAGCCCCAGATCCTGCCCCACTGGTACCAAGGGTGGCTGGGAGTTGGGGCACAGAGAAGCAGCGCTCAGGCCAGCCCCTGGCGGGGTTCGCTGTGGGGATTGACTCCGGTGGGGGTCCTTGGGGGATTTGACTCCCAGGAGTCCCGGTCCCTGGGGCGTTTAACCCTTGCAGGGCCTGACCCCGCCACTGGCTGGGACCCGGCAGGACTTCCCCACTACTGCACACGCTGGAGGGACCCACTCCAGCTAGCGGGGTCTGCCCGGGGCTGGGGGGCAGGAGCAGGGACCGGGAGCTCTGGGATGCTCCTGGGGGCGCGATGCCCGAGGCAGGTCTGCTGCCCACCTCCCCGCCCCGTGACTGTGCCCCGGCCCCCAAGCTATGGGGTCTTGGTTCCCAGGGCATCTCATGCACGGCCTGCAGTTACTATGGTAACTGCATCTCTGGCCATTTGGGGTCCCTGAGATCCCAACCCACGTCTCCCCAAAGCAGAGGAGTCCCCTCGGCAACCCCCCTCCCCGTGCACACCCAGACACGCCCCATGCACACCCAGACACTCCCCCCACACCCCGCGCACCCCCCCCCCCGTGCACACGCAGACCCTCCCCTCACAGCCTGTGCACACCCAGACACGCCCCATGCACACCCAGACACGCCTCACGCACACCCTGTGCACACGCAGACACACACACCCCGTGCACACGCAGACACACACACCCCGTGCACACGCAGACACGTCCCATGCACACCCTGTGCACACTCAGATACTCCCCCCAAACCCTGTGCACACGCAGACACACCCCATGCACACCCCTTTGCACACACATATGTGTCACGGAGTCCCTGGGCGATGCTCTGGAACTGCTCCCCACAAAGCCAGTCAGGACTTTGGGGAGCCTCCTCTCCCTTGGAGCAGACTGTCTTCAGGGCAAGAAGCTCACACGGCTTCACCTCCTGGGTCTGACCTTGGAGCATTCAGCATATGCCCCTCCGTGCGCTTCCCACAGCGAGTCCGCCCCGGCGGGGTCCTGGTATTTTTTCAGGTATTTAAAAGGGTGTCATAAGGAGGAGGGAGAAAACTTGTTCACCTTAGCCTCTAAGGATAGAACAAGAAGCAATGGGCTTAAACTGCAGCAAGGGAGGTCTAGGTTGGACATTAGGAAAAAGTTCCTAACTGTCAGGATGGTTAAACACTGGAATAAATTGCCTAGGGAGATTGTGGAATCTCCATCTCTGGAGATATTTAAGAGTAGGTTAGATAAATGTCTATCCGGGATGGTCTAGACAGTATTTGGTCCTGCCATGCGGGCAGGGGACTGGACTCGATGACCTCTCGAGGTCCCTTCCAGTCCTAGAATCTATGAATCTATGAAAAAGCCTAAGGGTTCTGCACCCCCCACTCCGCAGTCAGACGTGACTCTTAGCCAGCCAGTAAAACAGAGGTTTATTAGACGACAGGAACATGGTCTAAAACAGAGCTTGTAGGTCCAGCGAACGGGTCCCCTCCGCCGGGTCCATTCCGGGGCCCAGCGAGGCAGACCCACGTCTGCCCTCCCCTCCAGTCCCCAGCTAGCTCCAAACTCCCACCCCCGTCCAGTCCCTCCTTCTCTGGGCTTTGTCTCTTTCCCGGGCCAGGAGGCCACCTGATCTCTTTGTCTCGAACACCTTCAGTTGGCACCTTTGCAGAGGAGGGGCCCAGGCCATCAGTTGCCAGGAGACAGAGTGTCGGGCATTTATGTACCCTGGCCCTTTGCTCTGCAGCAACCATACACCCTTATCCCACCCCCTAGAGACTTAAGAACTGCATAGGGGAAACTGAGGGAAACATTAAGAACAGTCCCACTTCGTCACATCATGCACAGACAGGCCCCGCACACACGCCATTGCACACACAGATGTGCCCCCACTTGCACACAGGTGCTCCAAGCAGACACACTCCTGTGCACTCGCATTCACATGGGAGGTGCCCCCCGCCCCGTCCTGGCTCTCGGGGGAAGTGACTGGCGGGCTCAGCAACTGGGGTGCTGGGGGGAGGGTCTCCCAGGGCTCTTTGCCCAGCAGCCTCGAGGCCCGTTGCCAATGCCTGGGTGGGAGTGGGCAGGGCTGCTCCATGCCCCCTAACTGTGTCTCCCCTCCCCCTGGCAGGGCCCCAGCCCCCTTCATATCCCCAGTGACCCCCAAGGCCTGGCCCCCCCTGAAGAGCTCCCTGGGCAACCCCCGGAAGAGATAACGAGTGAGGAGGAGAGAAAGAGTGCCTTAGAAAAGAGTATGTAAGTGGAGCCGCTGCGCCCGCGGGACAGGGCTAGGGGTGCCAGGGATGGGGGTTCCTGACTGGGAGGTGCCAGGGGTCAGGGATGGGGGTTCCTGGGGGGGAGGTGCCAGGGGGCATGGATCGGGTTCCTGGATGGGAGTGCAAGGGGGCATGGATGGGGGTTCCTGGGGGGAGGTGCCAGGGGTCAGGGATGGGGGTTCCTGGGGGGAGGTACCAAGGGGTAGGGATGGAGGTTCCTGGGGGGAGTTGCCAGGGGTCAGGGATGAGGGTTCCTGGGGGGAGGTGCCAGGGGTAGGGACGGGGGTTCCTGGGTGGGGGGTACCAGCGGGCAGGGGCAGGGCTGTGGGTGCCAGGGGCAGGGCTGGGGAGTCCTGGGGCGCTTGGAGCAGAGGCTGCGTTCCCAGCACTGCAGGGCTTTGCTAGGGACGGATCCTGGGGCTGGGGGCGACCTGGACCCTAGGTCCCTCCCCGGCATCGCTCTGGGCTTGAGCTGGGAGGGGGCCGAGGCGTCTCCTGCTGGCAGCCGAGGGGGGGACGGGGAGGATGGATGTGGGGGGGTCTCACAAGGGGCTGCGTCCCCTCCCCGCTTTCAGACGTGGCCGTTCCCTCCCGTGGGCAGGTTCGTCCTCACGGAGCTCGTGGAGACGGAGAAGATGTACGTGGAGGACCTGGGCCAGATAGTGGAGGTGTGAACCCCCCCAGAACCCCCCTCCCCAGACAGCCCCCAGCCCCCAGGCTCCCCTCCCCCAACAGCCCCCTGCTTCCTGGGCTCCTCTCCCCAGACAGCCACCAGCCTAGGGACCCCTTCCCAGGCAGCACCCCCACCCCAGGGCCCCCTCCCCCGACAGCCACCAGCCCTAGGGCCCCCCTCCCTGGGCAGCCCCCCACAGCAAGCAGCAGGCCCAGTCCTAGAGCCCCCCCGGGTAGCCCCCCCGACCCCTCCCTCAGCCCCGAGCTCTGCCCCGGGAACACGGCCCCTCCCTGGGGTGAGTAGATGATTCTCCCTTGGCCCAGCACCTCCCACTGGGGGCCTGCTCCCCCACACCGGGAACCCCGCTCCCCCTGCCCCAGTCTGGGCAGCAGCAGAGCCCCACCCCGTGTGCCCCACGGCGGCAGCTCCCCGCTAACCCGCCCCTCCTGCCCCCAGGGCTACATGGCAACCATGCGTGCCCGGGGCGTGCCCGAGGACATGGAGGGCAAGGACAAGATCATCTTCGGGAACATCCACCAGATCTACGACTGGCACAAGGAGTGAGTCGGGGGATGGGACGCCCCCCCAGCCCCCCTCCCCCTGCGTAGGTCCCAGGGACACCCCCCCCAACGCTTTGTCCCAGGGGCTGGGTCTCCCTGTGCTGCCAGGGCCAGGCCGGCTGCCTCCACCACCCACGTATAGGTCAGGGGGGCACACAGATATACCCCTAAGAGATCTCTGCAGCGCCCCCCCCTTCTGCCCGCTGCAGGGGGGTGCCCGGGCTCTGGCAGGATCAGGGAGACCAGGATCAGAGCCGTCTGGTGCCCTGCTCTGCCCTCTCCCAGATGTGGTCCCTTGTGGTGCACCTGTGCCAGGCCGCGCGCTGGGCCCCTGGCACACCCAGCTGCCTGGGGGGTTGGGGGGGGCCTGGGTCAGTGGGGGTCTGCCCCATGGTTCTCAGCCCTCTCTGCCCCCCCCCAGTTACTTCCTTAAAGAGCTGGAGAAATGTCTGCACAACCCGGACCTGCTGGCGCAGCTCTTTATAAAACACGTGAGTCCTGGGCGTCGCTGCATGTGCCCTGCCTCGCCAGCCTGCCCCTGGCCCCGCCCCCACCCTGCCCCCAGGCCCCGCCCCACCCCCAGCCCTGCCTCGCCCACCTGCCCCAGGCCCCGCCCCACCCCCCAGCCCTGCCTCGCCAGCCTGCCCCTGGCCCCGCCCCCACCCTGCCCCCAGGCCCCGCCCCACCCCCAGCCCTGCCTCGCCCACCTGCCCCAGGCCCCGCCCCACCCCCCAGCCCTGCCTCGCCAGCCTGCCCCTGGCCCCGCCCCCACCCTGCCCCCAGGCCCCGCCCCACCCCCAGCCCTGCCTCGCCCACCTGCCCCAGGCCCCGCCCCACCCCCCAGCCCTGCCTCGCCAGCCTGCCCCTGGCCCCGCCCCCACCC